ATATATATATATATATATATATATATATAATCAAAATTAAATAAAGATAATGATGATGTTAATAATAATAATAATAATAATAATAATGCAAATAAATATATTATAAATCACTTTGGCAAACAAACATATCACCTTGCCTTTGGTCTTCTTAAAACAATTTTCATGAGCCCGTAATTAGGCCTTATAAATTAAACCAGATGAATACATCAATAAAATAGGCCTACGTTTGTCATAACTTTATATATACTGTACGGTTAATGGTGAAATATTTTAGCATGCGCAGTGTAAGCGTCAGCGTGAATATCACTATCGATCCACTAATGCACGTCATAACTTAGTTACACACATGACTTACAAGAAAAACAAGCACTAACGTGGCGATTTAGTGACGTGCATAATCAAGCTTTACCGTACAGTAGGCCCTACAATATTATGTCTGAAATCATCGTCGGTCGCACATGAGAACATGGTTGGCTACCACCGTCATTGCCCACAAGATTTCGTCTGTGTTCACTTATTATTATTATTGATCGGTACATTGATTCATACGTCAATTAACCAAAACGTATGTTCACGCCAAATTTACATCAATTAGACCTAAATATTTTTTGTCAAGATCGTTTCAAATTTTTTAACTCAATCAATCGTCATTTATGACTTGATCATCTGTATCGTATGTGTTTCAACGCCATCGCCGTCGTCATCATCGTCACTATCATAATGTCACGGGCATAAACGTAGTGTCATCCTCGATCATCGCTGTCTTAATATCGTTTTACATAGCATTACCATGTCATCCTGCTATTATAATTTGTCGTCATAGTAGTATTGTCATGTCTATCATCACAAACGTCATTATCATCAGCATCATCACCACGCGACCGATATCATCATCATTATCATAATCGTAATCGTAGAGTAGTCAACATTACCCATCATCATCGCTACGATCATTACCATCATCATCGTCGTTATCATCATCGTCATCATCATCATCGTCATCACCACCACCACTGATAACACCGTCCTCGCCGTCACCACCATTCTCATTACTACACTCATTCTAATTATTGTCATTAAAATTAATATTATTATGGTTATCATTATTATTCCTATTCCTGTTATTATTATCTTAATCATCATCATCATTATCCTTGTCATACACCAGAATCATTATCATCAGCATCATCGGTATATCCTCATCATTACCAATAAAACCATTACCGTCTGATTTATTTTTTTATTTTCTCTATATTATGCAACGCAAGTATAGAAAATAATTGGCATTTATAGCACCCAGCAGCGTTCAAGGCCTCTACCAATTTTAAAACGCTGGTTTGTCGAATAATTTGAACTATCTATTACTTCTATTATCTTATTAACGGATAGGCCAAAGTGAATATTTTATGCACTTTTTAAGGTTTGTAACGTGCAAAAATTGTATCCATGTGGTCATCAAATCCGCACGCACACATCGGCATTTGCGACTTAAGCATGATACTAAAACATACATTAAATCTATTGACATTATAATTCGATTCATCTATCATATCCGAATACTTTAATCCTTAATCTATTTCTTAACACACACGAAACATTATCTGACACGTACTTCCGTACCTGATTGAATCAATGTTACAGATCAGGTAATATTAAGTTCCACATAAAAAATGATTTCTATTTATTTTCTGTCAAAAGTCGTTGATATACGTGCCTTTATTATTAAAATGCCGAGATTGTTTTAGAAACCAAAACTAAGCAACGTGTCTTCTTTTGCATACAGTATATTATATTAGTATATTTGCACCACGAGCAACACAAGTTTTATTACCGGCTACAATTACATTTTCTGTGGTACCAGGATTTGTCCGATGGGGGGGGGGGAGGTCCACGACAGGAGGGAGGCCAATGTCCCCGACGAATAAAGATGTAAATTGAATTAATACACAAGCTTGCATACACACAGCGCACTAACTCAAACATCGGATGAAATGCGTTGTATTGTATGCACATCAAATGTGTACTAATTACGTTATTCAACTAGGCCTCGTCGTCCAGGAATACACATGATATCGTTTGATAATCTTTACTTGATGCATCAAGATGTCAGATGGGTTACCACGGATATCCTGACGTAGGCCTAAATATTTTTTTTATGCAATTAGGTCTATCCCATAAATATATTTTATAGGCGATTAATGTTTTGATATGTCTTCTCCAGTCTAGACATGAGTGACTCAACCTTGTTATGGGGCTAGAGGCGAGTAGCCTAATTTCACATTATAAATCGCGGACCTAGGCTTTATTACACACAAGAAACATACCCCCACTCATAGTACCGTATATAATGCTATCCAATCAATATATAT